ATGACCATCATTAAATATTGACTCAATAAAAATCTTAATAGAAGAAAATGTTGCAGATAAAACCCTATTTGACTTTCAATCCCAAAGCCATTATATTCTTCTCCTTCCCAAAGGCGAGTGTTCTCATGAATGTGGCGTTACCTTCCAAGTCCATTTTCTATAGTTATATAGAGACCATATACATAAGTAAATGTTCTTGGGTGTGGATATAGTCCTGCTTTAAAAATTATTTAAATGGTACCGTGAATGGCAGCTATCTGTTTGTTATATGACAAGGATTGAGCTGAGTCCTGCTAACAGCCACGTGTGTGAATTTGGAAGTAAATCCTTCAGCCCCTGTTGAATCTTGAGATGGGTAGCCCTGGCCAACAGGTTGCCTGCAAACTCATGAAAGATTCTGCCCAGACCATCCAGCTAAGCCACGCCTGTATTTCTGACCCACAGAAGTTCTGAGATAGTAAATGTTTGTTTTAAGCTGCTGTGATTAGGGGTAACTTATTGTTACACATCAATAGACAACTAATACAGAGACAGATGAAATAATTGCAAATGAAAATAAGTGCATACAGCAACTTACAGTAGAGCAGATGCCCATCATGAGAAGTGGTATGATTAATGAAATAGGCACTGGAGCCAGAATTTTAATTTCAGATCCTGGTTCTGTCACATACTTGCTGTGAGACCTAAGCAAGTCTGGTTTGTTTGCTTTTTTCATTCTATTTTCTAATTTGATAATTTGCAACATAAGATAATAACAGTATTTACACTACAGTTGTTGTGAAGAGTCAACAAGTTAGAAGATGAAAATGTCCCAGAGCCTGGCACATTTTAAGGGCTCGATTAATGTAACTATGGTTATTCTGTATAGGTTCTTGAGCAGATGTTAATAATATATTTGCCTGAGCTATGCCTTGGTGGTCCATAAGAAGGGGATTTCTTTGGAGGACAATGAGATAGAGCTTCCTCCCCTCCACTTGCTACACACAAAATCCAGGAGTAATGAGAAAGGGGGTCTATTGTTAGGAAATAGAGAGCAATGAGGCTTCCTGTGCTTGAAGATTGTGTGAATACTGGTGATCTGTTCATCTAGTACCCACTCTCCTCTCACTGCTTACAGGACTTCTGTTTCACTGACGTTGCTTCCACCTTCCAACCCGTGTGATTTAAGGAACACCTACCCCACTGCCAATTCCAGTTATGGTAATCCCCTTTTGCATGGGGGCCAGACACAGAGATCAAACTCACAGTGGTCCCAGCTGCCTGGAACAAGGCTGTGTATGGGCCCGAAACTATTGAGCTATGAACCTAAGACCTTCCTGTGAGAGATACCATGGCTAATGTGTTGTGTGGGAGAACCTTGTTGGCCATTGTGGGACCTGCATCACTGCAGACCTGCATCATTTAACCAGTTGGAAAATACAGGTTAACAGCGACATCATGTGGCTACATGGTGCAATGACAGCGGTGGGCAGATGAGCCGCCTGGCCTTCACTTCAGGTGTGTGGAAGTTGGATTTTCCCTTAGGAATTTTTGGATCACTCAGCTACCTATGAATTTTTAAAAATGGATATGGACCCTATTTGTATATCCTCAGCTTATTAAACTGAGAACTAGAGGATTGAGCTGACTTCCTTTTAAAAAAAAAATAAAGCAGCAATCATATTTGTACACTGTTGGAGCTGTTTTGTGGTTTTTTTGTTGTTGTTTTTTTCACAGTTTTCACATATATAACAGAATGCAAGAAAATTAGGCTTGAAGACACCCAGACAAAAAACAACTTCCCATTCCATGCCTCTTTTGAAAACTTGTCTATTGTTCCCCATCACTCCAAGATAAAGTCCCAGCTTCTTAGCATACTTCCGGAGGCCTTCCTCCTCAGCCTCTCGAGTGATGCAACACATTCTTCAACTTTCTCAGGAAGCCCTCAGTAAGTCCCACAATATTTGTACATGTTTGGGGCATTAGGTTTTTTAGGGAGGGCAGATATGAGCTGCACAGAAGGGACCCAGCCGGGCTTAATTACAAAAAACAACAAAACGGTAAGGTTTGCTAAGCACTTGTGAAATAGGCATTATAATAATGTGCTTTTGAGTTATTAATGCGCACATGAAGTTTAACCTTTCTTCCCTGTATTGCTGGGGAATTCTTATTCATCATTCATAATCATTCTTAAGTATTTCTCCAGGTTGGCCATTCTCGAGTGACTGCACATTAGAATCACTTGGGGAGCTTTCCAAACCATGGACACCTGGGTCCCACCCTGGAGATTCTGATTTAATTGGTCTGAGGCCTGAGCAGCAAGGGTTTCAAAGCTCCCGGGCTAGTTCTAATGTGCAGCCAGGGTTGAGGACCACTGGTTTAGGAAGACTTCAGTGACTGACTTAGGTAAGCCTCCTTCTCTGTCCCTCCTGCGCCCCTCACCGCCCTTCTCTGATCAGATCACAATGTCTCTTAATTTCAGAGTGCATACCCATTCTCCTTAACTAGACGTTGAGTATCTCCAGTCAGCCACCTCTGCACCTCTAGAGCCCGACGGAGGTCCTGACATTTTGTGGAGATTTGGAAAATGACGAATGGGAGAGTAAAATGTCACCAACAAACGCTTTTAGGGTCCTCCAAATGCCAGGCGCTGCAGTGCTCAGCCAGGTCTGGAACATGGAGAACAACTGATGGGTCCTGCAGCCAGAACTCGCAGCGAGGGCGGGTGTAGGTGTCAGGGCGGGCAGTCTGTGGCGGCCACGTGCCCCGGACCTCCCTTTCACCGATAGCCTTAAATGTGTATTTCTTACCAGTAAGTCGCCCGGGCAAAGTAGAGCTCTCAGTAGGTCAGTGGTTCTCAACCTTGGCTGCACATTAGAATCACGTGGGAATCTTTAAAATCCTGATTTCTGGGCCTCATCCTCCGGAAATTCTGTTTCTTTGTTACTAATGTTGTGGCCCCACCCCATAACAAAGAAACAGAATTTCCGGAGGATGTGGCCCGGAAATGAGGATTTTAGAAAGATCCCCCGGTGATTCTAATGTGCAGCCAAGGTTGAGAACCACTGCGGTAGGAGGTAAAACACCTGCGAGCCAAGAGCGAATGACAAGTGCGGAGGAAGCGCGCAGGCGCAGATGGCAACGCCGCGCCCGAGCTTACAACTGTTTTGCTGCAAGCCCCGCCCCCAGCAGCGGAGCCAACCAGAGGGCGCGAGGCGGTTCCAGCCTCCCCCGCGCGGCCCGAGAAATCGCTCGCGGGCGTTCGGAAGCGGAGCGGAAGGAGACACCTCGACGCGCTCGGGCTCGATTGGTCGGCCTCCCACGGCGCCGTAACGGTCGCAGAGGCGGGGCCCCAGGCAGCGGAGCTGGCCCTGCTGGGCGCGCTGCTGGTGGGAGACGGGCGGCCGCGGAAGGTGAGTGCGGCGCTCGGGGTTCGCGGAGGCGGCGGCGGCTGCAGCACCCCCAGAATCGGCTTCCTCGGGGTCCTGCGAGTGGGCAAACTGACGCTTGTCGTGGGGACTGGTTCGCGCCGATTGAAAATCTCAGTCGTGTGTTGGGATCGGGTCCCCGAGGAACCCGGGTCCCTCCCCCGCTTTGTGATCTTCGGCGTCTCGGCGCCGTGATTTCTGCGTTTACCGAGCACAGCTGGTCCCTCTTGCCCGGCGCGGTGGTTGAGGAGGCCAAGGGGGGGCGATACGTATAAATCTTAGAGCAGCGACTTCCCACCCCTTTCCTCTCAGGGCACATCAACTAATAACGAAAATTCTGCGGCACACCAAAAAACGTGTATTTTTTGCTGATATAATAAAAGAAAAAAAAGGTATAATTTTGACTCATTCACCCCGGGTGCTGTTGTTGTGTTGGGCAGTGGAAGGGAACAGAAGTCGGTGCCCCGCGTAAACGGGCTGCACGTGTCAGCGGTGCCGCGGCACACCGGCTGACAACCGGGGCGTTGAGTGATGCCCGCTGGGCTCGGGGTGCATTGTAGGTCATCGGGAGCCTGAGGAGGGTGCGTGGCTGGTGGGCGCTCGGGGCGAAGCCGGGGGCCGTGTGTGCGAGGGGGGCTCTAGATGTCCATGCTCTGTCCCGACTCGGGGTGCATGGGACTTTTTGGGGGGCGTCTTAATGTATGTAACCTCTCCTGGGGCAGATGGTTGGACTGAGATGATACCCAGTCCTAGCTCCATGGCCTTATTTGTGGTAGATTCCGTTCTTTTTAGGAACGTTATTAAACAGCGTGTTGGCGTGTTTTTTGGAATAGAGCTTTTGCATTCGATAGACAGTAGAGACTTTGAAACAGTGCGTGTTCCATTTATGGCAGTAATGTGAAGGACATGCTTTTGAGAAAGCTAATCCCAGATTTTAACGCGACCCACCTGAGAAAGAACAGTGACTCGCCAGGGTTTTTTCCAGCTTCTCCCCCACCCTCTCACCCCCAAATGGTGAAAAATATTTACATTTTAATGTACGGTGCGCGTTGCAGGCGTTTCAGACCTGTCACGGGTAAGTCACCAAAGGGCTCTGGGGAAACCGGGACAGAGCCAGAAAATACAGCTGTGTTTTGCAATTGGCTTTCTGTGCCACAGACGAACCAGCTCCTACCCTGCAACCCTGTGCCCAAAGTCTTCTTTGAGGTAGCAGAAAGGCCCAGGTCTCTTCCTGCAGCTCTTCCTGGCACAGCTGGAGTAGGGAAGGGCCGCTGCAAACTATTGACATTGATTTCACCGTATGATCTCTAAAAAGGAGCATCTGGTTACAGGGGGAATTGATGCTTTTGCCTGTTGTGTTCAGTGGTATTTATCTCTGAGCATGCTTCTTTTTAGTACGCTTGCAAATGAGAACACCCTACCTGTGAAGCCAGGAGTCAGAATTGAGGAAAGATAGATTTGGACCCCAGCAGGGAGAGGAAAGCTAAGAAGGGGTGGTGAGTGAGCATCGGAGGCCATTAGCGGATGACTTCAGTTGTTCAGCCTCAGTTTGGTGGTTACCAGTACCATGAATTCCTGCTCTGGGAGTAACATAAGACCATTCTTACCAGGAGGTCGGACATTTTAAGATTTTGGCCTGTTTATTTTTTTGAAACCTAGATGAAGATCCAGTTTCAAACGTGAGATTCACTGGGTGATCATATCATTGAAATCAACTTGAACGACCAGATAAAAAGTGCAAGAGGAATGTGCTGTGACTGAGGTACGCCTAATGTGACGTGACTCTCTGGATGTTGGGAGACCATGGAAAGAATCTATTGGTGTGTTGTGTTGTGTTTTAATCCTCAACGGAGGGTATTTTCCCATTGCTTTTAGGCCAGGGAACCAACCAAAAACCCAGGTATGTGCCATCGATTGGGAATCAAACCCAGTGTAGGGGCTGATGCTCTAAATCACTGAGCACACAGGACAGGGCAAATCTATTGTTTATTGACTACCATACTGGGTATAATACATATATTTCCTTTTGACCTCCTGATAATCCTATCAGGTAGATATTTTAAATTCAGTTAAGGAAATTGAAGCCCAGAGAGGTTAAATATCTAAGTTAACACAGCTGATCACCCACTAACTCTAATCACCACTTCTGTCCTGCTATGTGCCAGGCACTGATGTGTTTCCTTTCTGCAGGCAAAACTTTTTTTTATTGCACTTAATCTTTCTGCACTTCACAGATATTGTATTTTTTACAAATTGAAAATAAGACCCTTTATCAGCAAAAAGATTACAACTCTCTGAAGGCTCAGATGATGGTTAGTATTTTTTAGCAATAACGTATTTTAAATTAAGGTATGTACATTTTTTTAGACATAATGCTATTTCACACTTAATATAGTGTAAGCATAACTTTTATATATGCTGGGAAACCAAAAAATTTGTATGACTTGCTTTATTGTGGTGGTCTGGTGCCAAACCTGCAATATCTCTTGAGGTGTGCCTGTATATTAACTCCCCTAATCTTCACAACTGCCCTATGAGCTGAACACTTACTATTCTCACTTCATGATAAAGAAATGAGGCACAGAGAGATTAGTACTTTCCCTGGCTGAGTGGCAGAATCCACAATTCAAACGCAGGCAGTTTGGCTATAAAATTATACCAGGCTTTCTTTTGGTATTTCCTTTACTTTTATTATTACTTAATAAATTTTTTAAATAGTAAAATGAGTTTTATTATGAAATCAAGTAGAACACACATACCAGATGCATAGCTTAATGAATTATTGAAAGACAGTACCATGTAGGTCAGGGTATAGAACAGTACTAGCCATGCCACAACTGCTCTGTTGGCCCATCCCAAGCACAACTACTTCCATTAGTAGCCATTCTTACTTTTATAGTAATTGCTTCCTTGTGTTTTAAAAAACATTTTTTTCATAAATGCATATTCCTAGATATTCTGTAGTTTTGCCCATTAAACATTTTAAAAAATGTTTAATTTGTAGTTTTTCTCTGTTCCTTTCTTTTTTTTTACAATTTTGTTTTCTGATAAAGAACCTGAGTCAGTTGACCTGTATATCTTACAGTCTGGATTTTGCTGATTGTATAATCAGGTCTAGTTCATATGTTCATCTGCCTTGGGTAGTTCCTGCACATTAGTAGTTGGGTTGCAGACTGGATCAGACTTAGTCATCCCCTTGGCAGTTGTCTGAATGGCGGTTGGCAAGACCATAGGAAGTGCATAATGTGTCCTTGTTTCTCTCTTCCTGATCTCAGCAGCTGGTGCTACTCGATGCCTATATATCTATTCACTGAAGGTTGCAAAATAGTGGTATTGTATTTCTATCATATCTTTTTCACTTATTGGTTGGAATACTAGTCCCTTATCTATTATTTAAATAGGCAGCAGTATAATTCCTTCAGGAAAGGCAGCATTTATTCTTGATTCCTACCATTTACTTACCAGTTTTCAAAATTATAAATTGGTTCTTTATTTCCTTTTTTTCATTTTAGATATTATTGAATTTACATTTTAATGTAAATATTGATACTGTTAGACATTCACAAAGTTGAATTTTCCTATTTAAATGCATATATATTGAACATATTCACTTAACTTTAATAATTCTGGTCCTTCCCTAAAGTCAACAAATATTTTTTGTTTATTGTATTTCTTCTTAGGAAAGCATTTATACATAAACAAGAAATTATGTGCATTTATACTTTTCCCAGTGAAAATTATGTATTGTCCTCTACTTGATTTTTAATATACAAATATGTCTTTGAGATAATTCATAACCAGCACATGAAGAGCATTATTGTTTATATTTACATCTACATAATATTTCATTTGTCTGTCTTGGTACATTGTATGTTACCAGAATTTATTTACCAGTTCCTAATTGATGAGTATCTAGTTTGCTTTTATTTATTCTTTTTATAAATAACATTGTAGTAAATAATATTGTCATTTTGTTGATGGTTTCTTTTGCTGTGCAGAAGCTTTTTATTTTGATGTAGTCCCATTTTTTGTTTTGTTTTCTCAGTTTTCTTTGCTCTTGGCGATGTATTGGTAAACATATTACTGAGATGTCTGAGATTTTGCTGCCTATGGTTTCTAAGATTTTTATGGTTTCATGTCTTACATTTAAGTCTTTTATCCATTTTGACTTTATTCTTGTGTATGGTGTAAGTTGGTGGTCTAGTTTCATTTTTTGCATTGTCCCAATTTTCCCAACCCCATTTACTGAAGAGTTTTGGAGTGCTTGTTCTAGATCTGTGAAATATGACATTTGTATTTTACTAGGGATTGCTTTGAATCTGTAGATTGCTTTGGGTCGTATGGACATTTTAGTGATGTTGATTCTACTAATTCATGAACACGGTATATTCTTCCACTTGTCTCATTGTTATGGCTAACACTTCCAGTACTGTTAAACAAGAGTGGTGAAAGTGGGCATCCCTGTCTTGTTCCTGTTCTTAGGGGAAATGGTTTTAGTTTTTGCCCATTGAGTATGATGTTGGCTATAGTTTTGTCATTTATGGCTTTTATTGTGTATGATCCTTCTAGTCTCACTTTGCTGAGAGTTTTTATCAAAAAAGGGTATTGGATTTAGTTGAATGATTTTTTCTGAAGCAGTTGCTATACTCATGTGGGCTGATGTTCTATCCACTGAGCCAAACCAGCCAGGGCCAGTTCTCATTTTTATGAAGCCAGATTTGTTTATGGATCATGCTTTTGATGATATAGTTAAGAAATTTTTGCCTATTCCAAGGTCAGAAAGGTTTTCTATGCTTTTTTTCTAGGCACTTTGTATTTTTAGGTTTTTAGAGTTATGTCTATGGTTCATTTTGAGTAAATTTTTGTTTATGGTGTGAGGTATGAATCAAAGTCTATTTTTGGGCACATAGATACCCAGTTGCACTATTTTTAAAAAGACTGTCCTTTCTCTGCTGAATCACTTTCTCTCCTTTATCTTATATTTG